ATCATCATCATCATCATCATCATCATCATCATCATCATCATCATCATTATCATCATCATCATCATCATCATCATCATCGCCCTCATGCGCCCTCTGCTTTCGGCCTCGGCCCTGTCACATCCTCTGTTTTGCGCCCTCTGCTTTCGGCCCTTCGTCCCCGTCCTTCGGCTCGATGGAAATCTTCCAACTTTTGCAAACGGGTCCCAGCTCGGCCACCTGGGGGCGGGAACAGCGCCGGCTCGGCCCACCCACCCAAGGCTCGTGCCGGGCTGGTCCGAGTCCGAGAACTCAGATCTGGTTTCGGAGGTGGGCTTTGTATGATCTTTAGTATGAACATGCATGAACTTCCTAGTCTGAGTCTGGTTCCAGCTTTGCTGCTTCAAGTGTGGTTAATTGGGTTCTTACAGTTCAACTGGAAGATTCACGAAGCACACCTTAGGGCCTAGGGCGGGCTCCAGTCGTACCTCCTTCATGACGTGCTGCTTAGACCCTCCAAATCAACCCCACACACCGAACCTCTTTCTGGGCGAGGCATCCTACATAGCACTAGACCAGCACCGCCAGGGCTGATCTTTCTGGACAGCCTCGCCTGCCTCTTTTCGGGGCCAGGAAGTTCTCGACCCTGGTCTCCAGGGGCGCCCTGACAGAGGGCACCCATGTCGCCTACCCAAGGGAAGGTCATCGACCTCCTTCCGCTCCGCTCCGCTCGCTCCGCTCCCGTGCTCACCGTCATGGCTTTCAGCTGCTCCACCGTTGGCTTCCAGCCTCGGCGGACTGGCACGAAACATCATGACCATGAAATCCGAAGGCCAAACAGGTGGTGAGCTCACTCCGGGTAACGATTCTTTAAGGGAGTGTCAACGGGTGTGGAAGGTGTAACACACACACACATGATGTCTAGACTAGACTGGAGGCATTCATGTTTCGCCGTGGAACTCCAAACCTGCTGTAGATCCTGGCGCTTCGCAACTCGTTTGTGGAAGAGGGTTTGGCTTGCGGATATTTCACATCGGTGGAGCACCAAGTGGACAAGTGCTGAATGGACAAGTTTCCAGATGTGAATAGGCTGGTCAGGTGCACCCGGATGATGCAAATGATTCCCCTAACCTCCAAAGACGTGCAAGAAATCTTATACTGTGCGATTGAACCTGTGAGCTACCTCCTTGACTGGCGGTTCATCAGTACTCAATCTAAATGCATCTGCCCTACCCTGGCAGTTGATACCGTACAAAAGCTTAAACCCATCTCCCTGCCAGCTTTGAGCAACATGGAGGCCTCAGTGTCACCGCACATCTCTCAAGGCCATCCAAAGCCCAAGTTGCTGTTCACCACATCCTTCCTCAGAGACCGGTCACAGAACAAACGAAAAAGCTACACGATTATCGCAATCAGCATGCCTCAAAGGCTTCATCATGGGACTGGTTTTTGATGCCTGTAGACTGGCCCCATGTCAACTTCCCCAAGTAAATGGATAACATCAGCGCCTAGAAACATGGTAGCCAAACAGGAGGGGAGGCCCAAATGAGTCGGTGGTTGCTATTACAATGAAGGCATCTGATCCTGTGCAGTGCTATCACGCTCAAGCTCCAAAAAAGCGGTCACCTCCTGCGGCCCCGCATGCAGTTCAGGAAAGAAAGAACCAGCACATAAACCCTAGGGCTTGCCTCCTGAGGTTGGGTGTTTTGGATTTCTCGGGTCTAAGTACCTTCCGGACCTCCAGAGGAGGTACGGCATGGTACGGCATGTACGTTCTTGGGGAGCCCAATGCATCCAAGGCTCATCAGGTGGGCGTTCTGCGCACTGGCCTCCGCCGCCGCCTTCTGAGCCTGTTCCTCCCAGTCGTCCCAGCCGCGGCCCCTTTTCCGCCTCCGCCACAGCGGTCCGCGCATCCTCTCAACCTATGACTTCCGTTGATCCAGTAGGACTGCGCTTGTTCTACTTACTTGGGCTCAACAACCCAAAGCATTTGCCTAATAGGCCAACTGGGTCGTGGCATTCCAACACCTGGCACGAGGGAAAACATGGTCATGATGGACTCCCGATTGACTGACAAACATCTTGGTGGGTCAAAACTCTTCATATGGGGCCCTGAGATGTTTAACTCATCAAAGAGATGATATCAAGAGCCTACATTCTACATTAGTCCCGTGACACAACAGCATCAAATACATGTCCCGGTCATGTCCAGTCCATCGATCTCGGTCAGGTGGTCGCACCGTAAAGCGGGCCCCGTGGCAACCGTCCCTGCAGGATCCCTGAACCGTCCCTGCAGGGTTTGATCACCTCTGGTGGAGTCTGCGCAGCGAGAGTCGGCCTGAAACACAAAGCCTTCACTGACATCGCCACCGCCCCCGGAACGCTCGGGGACGGTCGACCGCTTTTGATCCCAACCACGCGACGTGACGTGTGGCGTCCAGGGCCCCTGGACAGGTACTAGTTGGGGTTGAGGAATTCCCTCTAGCTCCGAAAGGCTCCGTGGTTGGGGTATGGACCCACCCCCAGGCTCCGAAAAGCTCTGTCTGGAGCACCAGCTACTGGGGGTGCTACACCTGAAGAACACCGGATCCTCCTCCCTCCTCCCTCCGATCGCCTCCCTGAATTGGCCTTGGTGGCGCAGGTTTCGGATGGTTTCGGTCTGCCTTTGAAGGAGGTGGCCTCGGGGGAAGTCACCTCTCAAATCGTCACCCCAACATGGCACTAACAGAACGATCGCCCAAGTTGGGATCCCCTCTTTCATACCCGGGGTGGTTGAAAGGAATGTCAGCACATATACTCTCCTGTGGATTCACATGGAACCCCCGTGGGTTCACATGGGTCCATGTTAGTTTGTGGGGGTATTCCACTCTCCGGTGGGTCGTGTCTGGGAGTTATTTTTTCGAAGCGAATCCAGCCCCCGCAGTCACATGGACCAGTGGTGTGGGCACTCCGGTTGCTCACTTCGGAATCCAAGCACAGAAGTGCAACATGGGCCTCTGGAAGATCATGTTCACCCATGTTCACCCTACTAGGGGGGTCTGCTCAGCTTCCATGAGTGCCTGAAGGGTCTGGTTTCCATATATTCCATTTGTGATCCACCAAATCTCCGAAAAGCGCCCCTACACGTCACTTCCGACAGGACTCACCAGCGACGGGACTCACTCTTCCATCCACCGGTGAGTCTCCAAAACCCGAGGACGCTCGGAGGGCCCCCCGCCGGCATCGGCGCGAGCGGGGCCGCTTTTGGTGCGGAAATGTGCAACTCCTGCGGGGCGACGGGATGCGGCCCCGCTCGTCCTGGGGCGAAAGCACCTTCGACCGAACAGGACGTCCGGAGAAAAACCGGAACCTTCGGGGTGAAGTAGTGCTCTGTTTGGGTGCGCTAGGGTGAACCACCGGAAAAAGCAGTTTCAACTCACCCCATGGGTTCGTTGGAACTGGCCCAAAGGACAAGAATCCAGAATCTAGTGGACACACACATACATTCCCCATCTCTGCAGTCATTTCCTTCACCGCAAACGGAGAGTGTCAGTCTTAGATTCTCCATCAGGAGATTGGAAGTGAGACAACGAAGAAAACCCCAGACTTTAAGGTATATACACGTGGCTCGAGCCAGAATCGGCCCCAAGGAACTGCAAAAGAACATTGCGGTTCATCTGGGCAACCTTGCAGCCAGATTCCAACTCACTGGAAGATCACAACCTCTATGCGTCATGGTCCTCTACTATCTCTACTGACCGTGTATAATGATCATGCAGCACGTCTGTCTCTCTCTCTCTCTCTCACTCTCTATCTCTCCCTCCTTGCGACATTCCTAAATTAGGACACGGCAAGGTAGAAAAATTATGAGGTGCTTGGGAGTGCTCAAGACATGTACGTATTGTATTCACTTTACTAGCATCTCTTGCCCTGTCTTATCAAATTAGGAGACCCACCTCATCCCTCAACTGCCTCATTCAACCCACCCCACCCCAATCCGCGCTCGCTCTTTGGCCCCGGCCTCCGTGCCAGGCCTGGGCTTGAGACAGTTGTTGCACTTCAGTCCTCGGACGGGAATCGGTCGAGGAAGGTGTAGCGTTTCACGGCTGGGCGGGGAGCGAGCGAACGAGCGCCAAGTGGCGAGCGAACATCGGCCCATGTGGCCAGTTGGAACTGGGAGATCCCAAGATTTTTGGATGGTTGAATCAATGTACTACCTCACTTCTGTCAACATGTGAAACGCCAAAGCACAAGCCTGGAAGAAATGGACCAATCGACAGTAATCACCTTTGGAAAGCAAATTGAAGGTCCGGCTAGAATTTAATGTCATTTGTTGGTCCCTCTTTGGGAAAGTTCGTTCCCATTGTCTTGGACGCTCGAAGTGCAGCTTATTTCCCCCCAAAGAAATCACAAGGATGTGGGTGGCATGGCGGAACATGATTCTTTTGTAGGGCTCTGAGTGGCCCATCTCCTCAGGTGGGCGCTCCCACCTTCCTGGTACACTCGTCACCACCAAAAAAGGATCTTTGTCCTCCACGTTCTCTTTTCCGGGGTCCAACTCCACTGCGTGCAGCGAACCTTCCGAACCTTCCGCTGGAGCCCTCACACGACCGAGCGACGCTTCTCTCCGTTGCTCTCGGCACAGAAGGCACATTCCCAGGGACCAGTGGGAAGCTCCAACAAGGACAGCGCGGCCGGTGCCGAGGCCTGTCGGCGGTGTTCAGAAGGTGGTGTTGAAAGAAAGGGATGGACCACTCATGAAGATCAGGACCACTCAATGTAGACTTCTTGGATGCCAACCCCCAGGCCTGAGGATGGAAGAGGTTTTTGATCAATCCATGTCTGGGAGGGCGGAGGGTCCAACAAGTCATGGAAGTGGATCAGTCAGACCTGCTGGTGCAGTGAACGTCCACGGTCCATGTGGTCCATTTGGGGGATTCAGGGCCACTGAATACATGGTCAGAGTTTGGTGTATGTGGAGATCGCTACTCAGCCGGCCTCCAGTCGTACCATGTCGTACCTTCGTTTCGAAGGTGGGACTGAGGTGGGTGCCAGGAGGGTCTAAATCTGAGGAGGTACTTGGAGGTGTCGCAGCTGGAGCCGTCCGACTCAGCAGGCACGACGATGCTGCTCCCCGAGGGCGAAACTGGTCATGCGGATGGACGCCAAATGCATTGAACATGCCCCAGATGTCGGTCCTCAAATAGATAGTGGCACGGTGTCCAATACCTTTTGAAAGGTATGTGTTGTGTCTTTCTATCTATGTGGGGGTCTATACAGAGGTTCTTCCATGGTCCAGGTGCCTCTCGTACCAGTCGTAAGAAAGGATCTGGAGGCGATGTGTGGAATGGACTGCAAAAGGACATGGACTTTGGCACCTTCTCACGGGCCAAATGATCAAACCCCCTTTGGCCGAAAGGAGCCTCTGACTACGGTATGTCAACACTTCTTGTGGAGGATGAAACGAACCAAAAGGACCAAAGAAGCACAAGAACCGGCTCCAAAACTCTGAACAGGAGGTGGGCTGTCTGTCGGTCATTGGTCACTCTGTACTATTTTACAATATTTTACAAGCAGCTTTTGGGTGCCGGTTCCTCCCCCATGGTGTTTTGCACGTGTCCATCTTTATGGGCAGTACTGAGGACCCCTCCACCAATTTGAAGCAAAAAACACCGTCGTCCAACGTCACCTTTCTCGTCCTCTGGGCAAAGAGTCCAAAACACCAAGGCCCCAAGTGGATGATCAGTTCAGGACTGCAGGCCTTTTCCATTAAAAACAGCATAATGCGCACACAGGATTAAGTCACCACTCCTATTAATCAATCCCAGCTTGAGCCCTTAAAACCTGGTACCTGGACACCCACTCTTGCTGGAACCTGGGACACCCCGTCTCCCCGTCTCCTCACTTTCGGTCTACAGACCTCGACCTTCGGCTCCTCAGTACTTCCAACCGCTTCTGCCGAGGCAGCCGCTGCTTGACGCCGCTTGCGGATGGCGGCGCGCTTGCGGGCCAAGGCGCCATCCTCCTGGACCATGGAGTGCAGCTAGACTAAATAGTGGTCCTCAAATATAGATAGTGGCACGGTTTCCACTACATTTTGAAAGGGGTCTTACTTTTCTAATCTTTTCTACCTATTTGGGGGTCTATAGACGGGGTAGCGGCCAAAACGATGCACATCACAACGAACTGGCCTGGTGGGTGGAAGAAAAGCTGGGACCAAATGGGGATAGGGGTTTGGGACGGCAACATGGTATCGATGGCGGTGCGGCTTCAGGTGGTGCAGGAGTTCTTTATCAAAAACATTCAAACAGGCTAAGGGAATTTGGATTCGATCCGGACAAACGCTGCTATGTGAAGTCTATCCTGGAGCATCATTTGCAACCAGGTTCTAGCATGTGCCAAGCAATTGGAGAATGTTTGGGAAGGTACCGAAATCCCGAAGCAACCTACGCAGCAAATCCCTCTACCACTTGCAGAACCTCAGAACCTCAGGGCCTCAGCTTGGACAGCATCGGCCTCCTCAGAGTCGCAAATGTCAATGGCTCCCATCCTGGAGTGCCAGGCAACTGGCAGGCTTAGTGCTACCTGATTTCTTCAAAAGCTGGAGTGATTACAAAGTCAAGAGTCAAGAGCTTCCACTGAATACGAAGGACTCTGGCCTCACGCCAGGTCAGGAGGCTCCCCTCCTATGCCTCGAACCCAGCACAGCAATTCTCGCCCATTGGCACCGGCCGCTGGCGCGTTTGTGCCGACAAGTTGAGTGAGATTTTCAGATTAGCAGTTGTCGAAGATGTATATCATGGTCTGTGAAAACTGGAGCAGCACAAATCCCAAGTGTGGCTTGTCTACGTGGCTATTGATGAACCTGACTGGGATGGAAGCGGCTGGCGCGCCCAGCTCTGAAAAGAAAAGCTCTGATCCCCAAGCGGCCACTTTGGAGTATGAACTTTGTGCATCAGTTTCTGCGGTCGCACCGTGCATCCTACTATATCATGACCCTTTCAACTCTGCTTGAATCAGTCTGGCGGACGAGTCTTCAAGCCAAGGCCCTTCCCAACCGTTAGTCTACAGGCCCTCCGAAAAGCCTTGCCCCCACGGTGGGGGCACCCCTCTGGAAATCTCATCTAAAGACTCCCCCGTTGGAATTCACATGGAGGCAGAAACCCCGCACCGGCGGTTTGGAGCACCCCCAGGGACCCCTGTCCTCTGCCGTGTTAGTTCCAGTGAGTGTGAATGCAATTCATTCATTTCTATAGGCCTGGGATGGCCAGGGGAATCCGATGCTAATCCCGCTGAATCCGAACCCAGACTTGCGCTAGTCCAACCAATGATGCGGTAATTGCGCTTGGTGAGGACATCTGAAGACTCAAGAGTACAAGCATTAATAACTACCTGGTAGAGGTTTCGTGTATGATGGTTGGTTGAGGTGTGATGTACTCAGGCACTCCATGTCACCGGTTCCGCTTCAACAAAAAAAGACGACCAAGTCTACTCTGATGTGCCCCCCGTTTGGGGCTATTGAGATCAACATGGGTTTCCGGAGTCTTCCGAACCAAAGCTAAGAACCGCATATATTCTGATGGGGGTGTTTGTTGGGGAGCAGATGTAGCAATGTAGCTCCATGGCATGGGATCCCCCCCAAAAAAGAACTTCCAAGTAGTGGCATCGTTCGTGTAGGTCTTCAATGGGGCTCTCATCTGCCAAGTTCCAGATCGCTTGCCGTGGCAAGCAAACCATTTCAGAACCCAAGTGTCCACTTTCACTGACAGGCCGCAGGATATCCTTGAGATCTGTCAGTTGATGCCCTTCTTTCCCCGAAATGAACTTGACAGTTGGACCCTTCCAACTCCATCTGGAGGATGCCCTCAAGCCCTTCGACTCTGCCGTTCAGCTAATCGGCACTCGCTTCTAGCAGAACCTGACCGTCCCAGCGACGCGCGGCACCGTCCCATCCGGCCCATCGACGTGTGCCAAAGTGCTGCCATTCCGCCAGCAACGCAAACGCTCATTCTGGCCTCGGCCCGGCAGGGTCACGCGAAGTGGTCACCGAGTCCTCAATTTGAGGAAGACATGACTGACTCCTCTGTCCCCACGACCGAAAAGGCACCAGGTTTTGCATGTCCCTTTGGGAGCTTGTAGATTCTTGGCTAACTAGCTTTTTCCTGAGCAACAGCTAGCGTAGCTAGCAGCGATGGAGAACCCAATAACCCTTGATCTTTTAACCTGGATGCCGTGCACCTCACCAACCGCCCTTTGCAAGAAATGCCACCGAGACTGCCACCGGGTGTCAAATCTACTTGACTCAGGTCCACCTAGCCTTTTGGCCCTTCTGTTCCAAGTAACTAGCTTCATTTTCGGAGAGGAATTTGAGTCAGGTAATGTCAGGTGTTGCTGATTCAGGAATCGCCCTGGTTGCCGCGAGGCGCAGCCAAAAAACAAAAGAAAAAACAACAAGTAGTAACAAATACAAAACATACATACAACAAATCAGAAGGCGATTGAATTCTTCCCTCCCAATAACCCATATGCCGGCAGGAGTGTATGAAAAACGGCCAGGTTTGCATGCAAAAACACTTAGACACTGAACCACAATGTAGAATATGCATATGCAGCACATAATCCTAGCATTTTCTACATTGGGTTCGCTTCGCTGGTGTGGTCTGGTGAGGTTCGCTTTAGGCTATAGGTATAGGTTCGCGACCAGCTGAGATCCCAGTCCCGGCCAAAAGACTCACCAAAACCGTTCTTTTCAGTGGATCTCCTTGCTCCAACTCTGTTTCAACTGACCATGTCTAACGCCGAGCCAGCGGCTGGAGGCGTGGCCCTGGAAGCACGCAGTGGTGAGAAGAGGAACCAAGTTGGTGGGATATTCCTTCTTTTACCCACCTTCACCTTCATTGAGGACGTGTAGCAGGATTTTCTACCACTAGAAGATACTAGAAGTGGGTGCGGTGCCCATATGTCACCATACAGAACAACAAAAGCAGTGCCGAACATCTCCTGGATGGCCTGGAGTCCGGGAATCCACAATATATGGGGATCAGCCCCCGCAGTGAGCGATGTAACGCTTGGTGCCAAAGAGGTCGCACAGTAGGAGACGTTGGACTGGAATGCATGGTCGGATGGGGGTGAACACCAAATTTTCTCAAAAAGGACACACAAATATGCTCTGCCCAGGCCCAGGTGAAGTGCAGCACCTTCCGGGCATATGTTCAGTCTTGAAGTTTTAAGTTGACCCCTGCCCTGCCTCACAAACCCTTCAGAAGGGCCACGCATGGCAAAACAACAAAACCATCTTGGAACTATCCCGGCTTCAACCAGCGCCGAGTGATTTGCAAAATCCTGGTTCCACAACGCCTGCATATCTGTCATGAGGTTCCTGTGGGCAGGGATTCAACTCACCGCGCCTCCGGCACCAGACGGGAATGTTTCTGCTATGCCCCTGAAACGAGCAGGTTATGCAACCCTTTTTTTCGCTTGTGCATTTGCAAAGGGAAATCAATTTATTCAAAGTGCCCATGGCCCGCGGGACCTTCTCCGTCTCATAGATGAATTCATACCTCCAGCAGGCCAGGAAACTGCAGTGTGAGCGGGGGACCGACCATCTTCACTTAGCTTAACTGCCTCTGACATACCAGGCCCTTGTTCTAGCGCAAAAGAATCCACTTTCTGCTCAGAACACCCATTCCAGCTGCTCTGAAGTCCTCTTGTCCCTTTCAAGAAATCAAATGGACAACCCCCGTTTTAACCTCTCTAGATTGACATGTTCGACAAATCCAACAAAAACACGACTTCTTTTTTGGGTCCAATCTGAGTGGGATATGCTGGGATCTTGGAACAAATCCCACGCTTTTCTGCCATCCAGTAGTCACAGAGGGTGCTTAATGGAGGTTAGGGTGCCCGTTATCCACTCACTTGGGGACTAATTGGAACAGGTCAGGTGGGGGTATAGTAGGAAGTCCAGCAGTACGGGTTCCCTTTTTACTTTTTTGGTATCCCTTTGCCTGGGCTCTTGGGTTGAAAACACATCGTCCACTTCAGCCAGAAAAGCAACCTTCAAGACAACGCTTCTTAGAACACATCTGTTTGTAATTAGGGAGGTGCCAGGGCAAGCTAGCATCTTGGTTTTGCTCGGCGCTCACGCTGTGACCCCAAGTATCTCACAGTGCTTTGTGTGGGCATCCAGAATTGACTGATGTGCGAACGGGGCTTTTTGTCGCGGTGAGCCATTGATCCAGAGTACAAGCAACTCTTCAGTTGAGTGCTCTCAAAAGATTGAGGAAGTATCACAGCAACATTCAGCAGAAAGCGAAGCAAAGGTTGACAAGTCAGTCCCATTCGTGGATCAGCGTTGAGTTCGGACACCTGCGTTGTGAATTCGGAAACTAAAAGTTGGATCAGAAACTCGAATTCGAAAACCGAAAAGCGGTGATCGGAAACTGGAAACATTGTTCAAAATTCTGGAAACTTGGGTTCGGAAAGTGGACAGTTTGGTGTTTTTTTGAAGATGGGAAACCCCCACCCCAACCAACCCTCGAGACCCTACTGATTATACCAAAATAGACACCAAACAGGGTCAAAACGATTCGTTGGGCCCAATATTACATCAACAATGATTTCTTGGCGCGCCCTACCTAGCAAATTGCTTTATCAATGGTTTTCGTCAGCATCGACATCGCCAATTGTTCGGTCACAGGAGAAGAGCAGGACAAGAGGACGGTCGCAGAGCCCGCCCATAGAGTTCGGGGTGCGGCCAGTCAGTGTGTCCAGGGCTGGTCAGCGCGGCCAGAGGACAAGAGAAGGACAAGACCCGGCCAGAGCCCGGCCAGTCAGTGTGGCCAGCTCTTTTTTAAGATAGAACCTCAACAATAAAAAATTTGGTGCATGAACCGAAGCTTTTTCGAGTTTCTGAACTTGATATTAATTCATCGTTCCCGGCATGACCTTCAATCAAAAGCGAATTGAACAAATCACTGAATGCGCCCCAGTCACCGCAACGTTCAAACATTGACCGTCCCAATTCAATCCAGCAGCCATGGGACTTCTGTACCTGGGTGGAGTCGGCAGTGGCAAGACCAAAGGAAACGGAGGCAAGCCTTCTGCGCGGCAAGCTCATCATGGCTGGTGTGAAACACCCTCGACATGTTGTTCGGCGGAGGGCAATCCAGATGCTTGCACCTCCACCGGGTATGCCACCGCTCCTCCTGCAAAAAGAGGATGTCGCCTGGAGGTGCCATCTGCCGCATCTGGTCTAAAGTCCACCCGGCTGCAACTGGGGCCTTCAGAAGTGGCCGTCGCTTGGACTGCTCTCGGCGCCCAGTCGACTGAGCTGCTCGATTCCTTGCTGCTCGCTGCGCATCCAGCTGGCGCACGAGGAGCTCTGCCTCTTCACCATCACCCTCGTCCAAGAGCTCTTTCACAGCCTCCAGGTTCTCAGACCACAGCACTGTCTCCACAGTGCGCGTTTGAGATTGATCACCCATTAATGTGCTTGCACAGGTTCGTCATCAACTTGCTCAATTGCGGGCCTGTAAGGCCTGGGAAGCCTCTGCGGGCAGCCAACTCCACAAGAGGCACATTGCCATACCTGCCTGACCTGGGAATGCGATGATCTTGCGAGTGTGCTGGATCTCAATCTCAGCTGCAGCCCATTCAGCTGCTGCCAAGCAGTAGCAGCACACAAGCTGCTGGAGGATGGTGGTTCTGGGCAAGATCCGGGCGAGGTCCAAAAGTGCTCTACCCAAACCAAAAAACTATGCAAAGCC